TAACAGCAAATCCTCTTTACCTTGGAGGCTTTTTTTCGTTTTGAAATGAGGTAGGTGCCATGTTATCATTCTAAATTCAAAAAACTACTAAAATATATTGAACCTAGAACAGAATAAAAAGAGGCTTGTGTGATCAATGTATTTCAGCTCCAATTACATTTTCTTCACATTCAAATAAAATTATTATGATTTAATGATACTGAAGAACATAACTAAAGATTACATTTCACTACAGATATACAACCTAAAATACTTTACAAATAGATACAGACTGTGAAATATTGTTAATCTCAAAAGCCCAGAGCTGTACAAGGAACTGGGCCAAGAGCCAGGAGGGGCACAAAGAGAAACGACAGGATCCTCTCTGGTCTCCTTTTTTGCTTAAAATTGAGCTATATTCCTTGTAAGTATGGGGACTGTTCATCCCATTTCATTCCTGCTAGTGACTGTAATCCTGCGTAGTGACTGGTAGGCTTTCTTTCATGGCCCAAGTGTTTGGGATGAGAAATCATATGGTCGTACTACTTACAAGCAATATTTACAGTCTAACTCATACGCTTTCTAAACAGTGAAAATTCCCCTGGATAGTCATGGTTATCCAAACTCTGTATGTATTCTTTATGATTCTTTATCCTACTTTACTTGTCTCTTTAAATGATCAAATTATATTCTGATCAGAAGTTATCACTAGATTCTGTTTTCTCTAATTAACTGTTTTCATGTAAAAGTCTTATTTTTTCAATGAGATTAATAATTCCTTGAAAATTGAGTTTATAGGTTTTTTTATATCCCTCTCTGGTGGGCACACAGTAGGCTCTCAGGAAATAATTTAAATACAATCATAACAACAAGGAGTTTTGTGCTAAATTAAGGATCAAACTAGCCTATTGAAATAATACTATTATAGCATACAATTACTTAGGAATGTTTGAGGAACAATTTTTTATAAGGTGAAGTAAATCCAAATTATGGGATTATAGATTGAGTAGGGAGATTAAGAATACAGTAGTCTACTGGTATCTGCAGGGGACTGGTTCCAGGACACCCACCCCCAGGGATACTGAAATCCACAGAGTTTCACATAACACAGTATAGGTTAAGTATAGACTCTACACAACCCTCCTGGTGTTCTTTAAATCACCTCTAGGTTAGTAATGCACTCAATACATATAGATGCTCCATATGATACTAGATTGGGGAATGAACACCAGAAAAAGACAGTACAAGTTAAGTACAGATGCCATTTTTTAAAAGAGCCTTTTCAATCCGCAGTTGGTTGAATCTGCAGACATGGAGCCTGCAGAAGTAGGGGGCTGAATATAACTGTATCATACATTATTACAGTCTCTTATAGTTTACAAAGAGTTTCCCCACACACTAAGATACTTGATTCAGGAGACTAAGGTTTGTCTTGGCCCTTCAAAAAATGAATTCTGTGCCTTTGACAAATCACTCAAAATTCCTATGCTAGTTTCTGTCTCTGTAAAAGGAAAATATTAATACTAATCTTATCTTCCTCATGGTTATGACCTAGACTGTAAAAAATAAAATTCCTTGCAAAGTATATGGACACTTGTTAAAATTTATTCAATGTGTATGAAGAGCTGACCTTACAACATCAGAACCTGATTG